CTGTAATGCCTAAAATTTGTGTCATAAATGTTTTAAACTGGAGAAAAAATACACTGGGATGAAATTATTAATGGTTCAGAGTGACGACTTAATGGTTGAAGGCGGCGCCATTAATTCCTGCAGCTGACTTTATTGATGGTGTTATTGGCTCAAAGAAACGTCATCAGGGCATAAGGTAATCGGATGACGCCATTAACTACAAACGTCAGCGTCATTAACGGGTCAGCTTTCCATTGTCAGTAACGTTGACTGACGACATCGAGAGGTGACATCATCAAAGACTCGACAAGCTACGTCATCAAATGCTTGACAGGTGTGACGCCATCAACTACTCGAAGAATGACGTCACCCAATTCCTTAAGGGGGTGACGTCATCGAAGGGTCGTGGATGGCGCCATATGAAGAAAAAAGAAGAGTGACGTCATGGGATTCAAAGACCGTTTAATACCTATATGTAAAACGAAGATGAAAATTACCTCCTGTGGCTATAATTTGTGTAAAAGCATTAACCACTTTGACTCTTCCTGCAAAAAGCTGCGAAAAGTTTGTAAGATATCGCCGGTTATATAAGCCGCGCTCCGCCGGATAATTTTAAAAGTTTACCCCACATGACACAAAGAAGTAGAAAAATACAAAAAAATTATACCCGCTTGTGTGTAGGTAGTAGGCAGCTACCAAACAGGGAGGTACTACCGCCTGGGAAGATATTGGAAGCATAATGTGTTGTCTAATGGTAGACCCTGCTGCCATATGGCATCACGAAAATTGTAACCAAGTCCCAGGTTGCTGATCTGACTTTCTGCCTCATTTACACAAAATTGCAGGGTCTCAATTGTTTCTCTTACTATTGACAACACAACATACATATATTGTTTCTCGCTATTGATCTTTTTTCTTGGTATTTATTTATTATTATTATTATTATTATTATTATTATTATTATTATTATTATTATTATTATTATTATAATTATTATTATTATTATTATTATTATATTCCCCCGCAGGCCCTGATGTGGGTCATTGACCTGTGCCCTGGTGGGCTAATGCCCGTAAAAAAAAAGTAAAATCATGGTTCATTATCCCATCTTTGTGACAATACCGTGTGAAAAAAAAATATTCCTTTGTACCCATCTTCGTAACTACCACCATCATCACCACCATCATTATCACCACCTCCACCACCATCACCACTGTCATTATCACCACTGCCATCACCATCACCAATATAATTATCACCACTACCACCATCACCACCATCCTTATCACCACTACCACCGCCACCGTCATTATCACCAATACCACCACCATCACCACCATCATTATCACCACTACCACTACCACCACTACCATTATCACCACTACCGCCACCATCACCAATATCATTATCACTATCACCACCACCATTATCACCACTACCACCATCACCACTACCACCATCATCACTACCACCATTATCACCACTACCACCATCACCACTACCACCATCATCGCTACCACCATTATCACCACTACCACCACTACCAAGTTTATTTAAAGTAAGAAATATTATAATAGTATATAATTTAATTGAGTGTAAAATATATCTCCTCTTTGTCTACAGGTTTATGGGCCATTCCGTTCAGGTGTACAAGGCGGATTTTTGGCCTCACACACACACACACAGTATACGTTTGTGTGGTGGTTATTTACATAGGAATGATTATACAGGTAGAGTGTTCGAGATGTTATAGTGATATCTTGACCGTGTGTGTGTGTGTGTGTGTGTTGCCGAAACGACATAGAGATGGCAGGCAGGCAGGCAGACACGCAGGCAGACAAACAGGCAAGCAGGCAGGCAGGCAGACAGACAGAGACACACACACACACAGACATAGACAAGCAGGCAGGCAGACAGACAGACAAGAAGGCACATACAGACAAGGAGGCAGACAGGCAGGCAGGCAAGCATGTAGGGCGTCCAACTTGCACCATAAGACTATTGGAGCGATTAAGATGAGTGTGTGTGTTTATTGCTCATTAATTGCTAAGAAATTAAATTACAGTCTGAATCTTTGATAACAGAGAACCTTGTGGGGCCACTAGTGTAGAGTGACCGGGGTCCCGCCTACACTCGGTCGTGAATGGCTGCAAAAATCGATAGGACGACATTGAGCGAACACACACACACACACACACACACACACACACACACACACACACACACACACACACACACATACACACACATTTCATAGAAAGTGAATAAAAAGTGTTGCCGTCTTTTACAAAATTAATTAAATTGAAATGTTCCCAAGAGACGTGGGCAGGATCCTACCTCTCTGGTGAGTGGTGGTGAGTGGTGGTGAGTAATGTTTGTGGTTGTGGTGGTGGTGGTAGTGAGGGTGGTGGTGGTGGTATTGGTAATGGTGTGGTGTTGGTAACCCAGGTGGCAAGAAATGGTGATGGTGATGAAGATGGTAGTGAGGATGAAAGATGGTGGTGATGGTGACGACGACAGTGAAGATAATGACGACAATAGTAAAAATACTGACGAGGATCATTTTCTTCTTCAACAAAGACAAGAAAATCACCGACTGTAACGAAACAAAATTAGTCTGACATTCACAGTCCAACACTAACATTCACTTCACCTCTCACCTGGGCTACAGATCAAAAATAAACGTTAGGTATTTTTGAAGTGACAATCTGGTTTAGTCTTCCATCGCCACAAAAAACCCCACGTTCTTTAACACACTTCCCTCTCCTCCTCAAAAAACATAAATTTCTAACTTCTCAAAAAAAACCTGTAATAACCGTTTTAATATCCTAAAAAATCATAGTAGCTTTCATAGCCAAAAACGATATATCATATAATATTTAATGTGTTTAAAAATACTGGTAATTATCATTTTTATATCTAAAAAAACATCACGATATTTTTCTCTATACAACAAACCAAAGAAAGAACGATAATAATATTTTTCTTTAATTTCTTCAAAGATCAGGAGAAAAAGATTAATGTACACCAAGTAGCTTTATGAATTGCTAATGTTGCTTCGAGTTGATAGCTCAGGGAAACACAGGCTTGACAGATACATTCATTTGGGAGGTCCGTACAGTAGTGTAGTGGGCTACCAAGTTACCAACTCCCAATACAGGGCAACATATGAACAGGAAACCTCACGCCATGTCATCCATACCCAACCACTCGGACAAACAACTGTCAACCAGCTCTCAGTCATACCCGCAGAGAGCAGCACTCACACACACTCGCACACAATCACACACACACACTCACACAAGAATTTTGTGTCTTAGCTTAGCGAGTCTCTTAATGTAGATGCGCTCTCGGGGTGAGGCTAAGAGTAACTAGCGAAACTTCGATAATGCGAACCCTTCTTCGTGGGGTGGGTTGGGTTAGGTTAGGTTGGTCTCTGACAGTACTGGACTTTCCTGGTGTAGCCATGAGTGTTTCAGATACACTTTCCACTTGGGATATATTTACTACCATGAATACTAGATCATGAGAAGTTTCCAAATGTTCATATATTTAGAAACTTATCATGATCTAAAATAATGAGGAATAGTTTCTTATTATAAAAATGTTGCCTTTAGTTTGTTTAATATTTATCCTGACAGTGATACAGAGGAAAATGCATCCACCAATCACAATCACCATTACATAGAGTCTTACTTTACCAAGTATTGCCAGGTAAAATTGTCTTAAAAATCTACAGTATACTGTGCATACTATTCATTCTAATATTCATAGTATGCCAGTTAAAATCTGTAGAATAAATACCAAAAATCACACAATTCAAATCTATATAATGTATTTTAAATTCATTGTTGTATGTTTTAAAATTTGCGGGGCACAATTTCTGAATTTGCGGTAAACATATTTAACTCCATTACTGCGGGGACGCCATTTTTAATTTTATCTTGCCAACGCCAGATGACTTAACTCGGCACAAGGGGTCAAAAAACTTGTGATCGATGTTCTGAAAATTAATGTCTTAGTTCTTAAACAACAATGACAATAAAACCTAATTAAACAAGCTTAATTTTATATTGGAAAAACTATCCACTTAAGATCGCAATTATAGAATAACGATGCATTTTTGTTTCATTTTATAAGAATCGACGAAACGAAGAGTAAAATGGTTTCAGATCATGTTTCTTCCCTACACGTAAATTATGTGTGTTACTGGTCAAATGAGTTCCAGTCTTATGAGGCCCAGTCCTATCAAGCCCTATCATAACTAATCCTAACCAAAAGTGGGACTACAGTATATTAGAATTGAGTTGTTATTATCTTCGGGTTTCAATACTTTCAGTTCAGTGAGAATAACCTTGTGGGAGGTGGGGGGGGGTATTATACCAAGTACATTTTGATTGACAGTACTCATTTTGAGTGGACCTTTACTATGACCAGTAAATCACCAATTACGACAATAATGCCACAACAACAATTCTTTAGCATTTTATTTTCTATCTCAGATGCAGGAGGTAAAAATTCATGAAAGGTAAATAGGATTACTTCTGACGCTGATGACGCATTCGAATACATCCTCGAGGAGACGGAGGCAATTTTTTTTCTAGCAATTCCAAGAGATCGTTTTGAAAAAAAATATGGAAAGTTTTAGAGATGTGTATGAAATTTGACAACGAAAAAGACAACCAGATGAGAACGGACCATCTGATCATTGTATCAAACAAGGTGTATTAAGTAAATACTGTAGAGCAATAGCCGAGTCATGAGTGGACCCTGGCCGATACTACACTAGAATCAATAAGGATCATCAACTGGTATAGAGAAAACTATAGGTGAAGGAAGGCTGTAATCCACCCAATGGAAATTTTTTTATTGTGCGGACACTTATTTGTTCACAGACAGACAGACGAACGAGAGAATATTATCGAGGACATAGCCCGCGAACTGTTTCTCAATAGGAAGATGATTAGAACAGAAAAAAAACTTTACTTGTACATAAAAAAAATGGTTTGGCACTTACCTTCAAGTGTGTGTAAGGAGGTTATGTGAAGTGTCTCTCCTTTGTACCGCAAAACACTTGACACTTGACATTCGAGTCTTGACACTTGACACTCGAGTCTTGATACTTGACACTCGAGTCTTGACGTATGACACTCAGTAAATAACTAACCACAGGTTGAGGGAACAGCTCTTGGTAGCTCTTGAAGTTTTCGTAAGTTCTTCACTGTTTATCTTTTTGTGTTTTCAAAGTAGATTCAAAACGAGCAGGTAATATGAGTTGTAAAAAGGCAAAAATGGAGTGTTCTGACTGTAATAACAATGAATCATAGACAATGAAGACAGTTTTAACAATAAACGCTATCACATGTGGAAGATGAGGGCTAATGTACAATAATTTACAAGGAGAGAATGATGCTTTCTGAAACAACAACTAGTTTTTGTTTTCTCACTAGAATATGAAAATGCAAAATACACTTCTTATAAATGCATAGATACAGAATTATGAAAAACCGAAACTATTTCTAAAATCTACTTGAAGACATCTGCTTTAGGAAGGGTGGAACACCGTAGAGCTCGGACTGTCCGGAGGACTCTGCAAGAAACAAGAAAAATATTCCAAATTTAAAAATCGCAAAAAAAAAAAAAATAAATAAAAGCAAAAAAAAAAATACAAGTATTCCATTTGCTTCAAAACATTTTTAGGGTTGCTTACAGTGAAAAAAATCAGAGGGTGTTTTGTTTTTGAGGGGAAAAAAGACGTTAGTGCTTAATTATAAAATTTTTTGTCGTGCACATCTAAATGGAGTGGATGACGTATTACGCTGAACTACTGGCAGGGGAGGGGGGTTCTCGCAGGCCCTCCTGGATAATAAGATTCGGGGCTTAGATATCAAGGGACAAAATGAAAATAAAAACACGTAAAGACTAAGAAAAACACGAGTTTATCAGCAGATGGTGCAGTAGATGTAACCACGGTACACCTACAAGGGACACAAGTTATGGACCACCGCACACTGTCAACACGGAGGTGGACCTTAACTCACACTGCAGGTGAAACAAACTGCTCATTACAACACTCAACAAGTTCATACCGCGAAGGACCATCTGCATCCTCAACAGTCATACTCCCTAAACTCATGATAAGTAACTGGTGTTGTAATGATTTTATTAAAGAATTACATCATTCTTCATAAAATTGAGAAGGTTTAAAGGTTTTGACATCAAACGAGAAATATGAGTGTTACATGCGATAATTAACGCTAGTTGTTGAATTATAGGTGAACTGATCATGAAAATGGGACGCAATGTACAGTATCTCAAAAACGTATCTGCCAGGATGGGACCGATAACTTCCCAAATGCTACATGCACCTCTCGTGGTGTCCCGGGAGGGTTGGTATGTATTACTTATGTTAAACTATATACCAAAGTAAATGCATTTCCCAATATCTATCATATGTGGTCTCGTAATATTTCACACGGGGTGGGAACAGATACTTTTGTATATACTGTACAGTTACACCCCCTCCACAAAGTATCTTTACGAAGGATTTTGACAACCGTGCCGAGATAACAGGAGTCTCAGGGTCCATTTTGAAATTCATCCATTCCCGTAAACCTACTTTTTGGGGGCAACAGTGAGTGAGGAGTACACCTGAAATACATCAGAATGTACGAGTACATTATAAAGTAAATCCCACTTAAACGAGACCCATAGTCACCCAATACATGATCATAATAACAACCAAGATTATTTGACTTCAGCTGTTGATCACTTTGTCAGATGTTGGTCCTTTAGTTGTGAGTGACCAAAGTTTCTCAGGTATATGTTAGTAACCGATGGCCGATATCTATGTGGTGTTGATACGATAGTGACCGATATCCAAGATACCTTTCCAAAATCAGGCCACGTGTGTAACTCCTTTCACAGCTGTGGATATAAATAATAAAACAAAACGTACATACGAGGGTGAGTGAGTGAGTGGTAACAAGCTTCCACATTGACGGTACAGTAAAAAACCCAGGAGGCAGTGACGAGTCATACAGTACATACACAAGTAGAACATTCCCTTGAAGTGTACATGAAAGACAAAGAGTGTCCATGACAGACCGACAGCGTACATGACAGACAAAGAGTGTCCATGACAGACCGACAGCGTACATGACAGACAAAGAGTGTCCATGACAGACCGACAGCGTACATGACAGACCAAGAGTGTCCATGACAGACCGACAGCGTACATGACAGACCAAGAGTGTCCATGACAGACCGACAGCGTACATGACAGACAAAGAGTGTGACAAACCGACAGCGTACGCGACAGACCAAGAGTGTCCATGACAGACCGACAGCGCATGACAGACCAAGAGTGTCCATGACAGACCGACAGCGTACATGACAGACAAGAGTGTCCATGTCATGACGTGACCGACAGCGTACATGACAGACCAAGAGTGTCCGCGACAGACCGACATGACAGACCAAGAGTGTCCATGACAGACCGACAGCGTACATGAAAGACAAAGAGTGTACGACAGACCGACAGCGTACATGACAGACCAAGAGTGTCCATGACAGACCGACAGCGTACATGACAGACAAAGAGTGTCCATGACAGACCGACAGCGTCAAGAGTGTCATGACAGACCGACAGCGTACATGACAGACAGACCAAGAGTGTCCATGACAGACCGACAGCGTACATGACAGACCAAGAGTGTCCATGACAGACCGACAGCGTACATGAAAGACAAAGAGTGTACATGACAGACCGACAGCGTACATGACAGACCAAGAGTGTGCATGACAAATCGACACCGTACATGACAGACCAAGAGCCTACGTGGCAGAACGACACCGAACATGACAGACCAACAGTGTGCAGGACAAGCCAACAGTATATAACACAAGCCAACAGAACAGTGTACATGACAGACCGACAGCGTACTGACAGACCGGCAGTGTACATGACAGACCAAAAGCCTACATGGCAAACCAACAGCGTACATGGCAGACCAACAACGTACATGACAAAAGAACAACGCAAGAACATAAGAATGGAGAAAACTGCAGCGAGCCTATTGGCCCATACTTGGACAGTCCCGTTTACACCCAACCCCTATCGCTCTAATATCCATCCAACCTATGTTTGAAGCTATCCAGCGTATTCGAGTTAATGATGATGTTTGGCAACTTGTTCCACTCATCCACTATTATATTTCCAAACAAATGTTTACCTACCCCGCGCCTAAATCTATTGTTTTTTTTTAAACCATTGCTACGAGTTCGTCCCTGGTTGGATAGTTTGAATACCTTTAATATATCATCTTTGTTTAACCCTGACCTCCATTTATACACCTCGATCATATCGCCCCTCACTCTACGTCTCTCAAGGGAGTGCAAATTAAGATGCTTTAACCTGTCTCTGTACTCAAGGTTCCTAATGCCCGGGATTAGGTATGTCATTCTCATTTGCTTTCTTTCTAAGGATTCTATATTCATTCTGTAGTGTGGTGACCAGAACTGAACCGCGTAATCCAAGTGAGGTCTCACAAGAGCAAGATGTACTTTTAGGATAACCTCGCTAGTCTTGTATTTAACACTCCTTTGTATGAACCTAAATACTTTGTTAGCTTTGTTTCGAACAAATACACATTTCTTACTTGATTTAAGATTCTTGCTTATCATTACTTCTCAATCTTTCTCACAGTCGGATTTCTCTATAACAACGTTGTTCATCTGATGTCTGGTTTCTCTAGTTATATCTCCTAGACTAAATACTTTACATTTGTCCACATTAAATTCCGTTTGTAATTTTTCAGATCATGCGAAAAATTTGCTTAGATCTTCTTGTAGTTTTGCGGAATCCTCGTCAGATATATTTAACACACCCTATTTTAGTGTCATCTCCTCCAATGCCATGAGCCTCCACTTTTCGTATTAGTCTCCAGTGAGGGACTGTCGAAGGCTTCGTTAAAGTCGAGGTATACCACGTTATAGTCGTGTCCATCATCCAATGATTAGAAAACAGTTGAAAAGATTGTTAATAGATTTGTCAGACATGAACGCCCACATGTGAAGCCATGTTGGGAATCAATGATCAACCCGAGCCTCTCCAGGTGATTTCCGATGGAGTATGAAATTATTGCTTCCAACAATTTGCCTATAATAATATTGATGTTAAACTGATTGAACGGTAGTTAGAGGATAGTGATCTATCTCCCTTCTTGAAAACCAGTATCACGACAGATCAAGAGCGTACATAACAGACCAACAGCGTACACTAGACTAACAGTGTAAATGGTAAACCAACAATGTACATGACAAGCCAACAGTGTACATGACAAGCCAACAGTGTACATGACAAGCCAACAGTGTACATGACAAGCCACCAGTGTACATGACAAGCCACCGGTGTACATGACAAGCCAACGAAATGCATGACAAGCCGCAGTGTACATGACAGCCAACAGTGACAAGCCACCGGTGTACGCGGACAAGCCAACAGTGCAGTGTACATGACAAGCCAACAGTGTACATGACAAGCCATGACAGCAGTGTACATGACAACAGCGGTGTAGCCAACAGTGTGCACGGCAAGAAGCCACGGTGTGCCACAATTAGCATGACAACTGGAGTGTGCGCGGCAAGCCAGTGTGCAAAGGTGTGCATGACAAGCCAACAGTGTACTGACAAGCCACCAGTGTACATGACAAATAGTCAATACAAGCCAACAGTGTACATGACAAGCCACCAGTGTACGCGTGAACACAGTGACAAGCCACCAGTGTACATGACAAGCCAACAGTGTGCATGACAGCCAACAGTGTACATGACAAGCATGACCACAACAAGTATATGACAAGCCAACAGTACATGACAAAGCCAACAATGTACATGACAAGCCAACAGTATACACATACTGTATGTAAAACCAAAAGGGACACCAGCCTTTACAAAATCATGTACGATTCCTCTTAAAAAAAAAAAAAATCTGGTGTATTCTCAACATCATACAACATTCACCACTGTATTCTGAACAACATACAACACTCACCACTGCATTCTGAACAACATACAACATTCACCACTGTATTCTGAACAACATACAACACTCACCACTGTATTCTGAACAACATACAACATTCACCACTGTATTCTGAACAACATACAACATTCACCACTGTATTCTGAACAACATACAACATTCACCACTGTATTCTGAACATACAACATTCACCACTGTATTCTGAACAACATACAACATTCACCACTGTATTCTGAACAACATACAACACTCACCACTGTATTCTGAACAACATACAACATTCACCACTGTATTCTGAACAACATACAACATTCACCACTGTATTCTGAACAACATACAACATTCACCACTGTATTCTGAACAACATACAACATTCACCACTGTATTCTACCACTGTATTCTGAACAACATACAACATTCCACTGCACTGTATTCTACCAGACAACATACAACACTACAACACACTGTCACCACTGTATTCTGAACAACATACAACATTCACCACTGTATTCTGAACAACATACAACATTCACCACTGAACAACA